ATATTTTATAATAAATCACATGATAAAAAAGAAAAATACAATATATATTTGAAATGTGCAATGTAAAAATTGCTGACATACATTTTCTTTCTCTTTCAGTGACTAAAAATATTTTTAAGATTTTAAAATAAACATTGTGCTTAATTGGCTTTTATAGGTTATTAACAAAAATACAAATGAAGTATTTCTACAAATTTATACCTAATGACAATTGTTTTGTTTTACTTCAAAATATTAGTCTAAAACCTACATTCTAGTTCACTTTTTGAAAAAATCCTGACATTAGCATGGTAGTCCTCCATTTTTTCTCACTAGAAAAAAATGACATTTAGCACTCTCCTCTCATCTCTCCCTACATAATTAGGAATGTTCTTTAAATATTTTGAATGACTATGTGTCATTGTAAGAAAATGTTCCCTAACATAATAACATAAGGAGGAATGGTTAAAATCTTTAGATATAAAACATTACCATTATCTTACATTCTTCTTAAAGATTTTTTTGGTTTTTACCCATGAATTATTACTGCTTCAAATATAGTCTTCCAAATCTCTCTTTAGACATGAATACAAGATTAACTATTAAGCAGTAATCAATGATTATAAAAGCTAATCTGCTACAAATCTTGAAGACTTTCGATTTACATAAATACGAGGATATCCTCAATACAGTAAAAATAATAAGGGTATGTTGCCTGAACATGGATGATAACAAAGTATAGATTGTGCACCTAAATATTAAAATGACAAGTTGTGTAAGAGATGCTTTTAAACAGTATAAAATGGCCAAATCTCAATTCTTTTACATTGCATATACACACAAAAATTATCAATTACATGGTGTTAAACTAATGATCTTATGGGGGAAAGGGGATATGGTGTCATACATACATACATACATCCACACAAACATATGTTAATATGAATGCCCTCAGATGTCTATACTGGACCTACATTGCCATATATATGACCATTTGTTTAAAAACATACCATAGTGTTTAAAGACATGAGGAAATATTACTTACATATAAAAGCAATCTAGACAACTACTCGCAATCTACACAACTACTTGAGGTTAAGAGTCAAGTAAAGTGGACCATCTTTACACTGTCATAAGGAATCAACAATGTAACATTTATCATGGCTTCTGGTATTTAGAGGTCTTATCGGATGAATAAAAATAATTGAGTCCTTTGAAGATGTTCTAGGATAGCCATTTCCCAAGAGAGAGGTAGTCAAAGGATACAAAGAGTTTTATTAATTTATTTTGATTTATCAACAATCATTTTTATAAGCTTGTGAGTTTTAAATTTTCCCCCTCCCTCCTCACCTTCTTCCCCAAGACAATGCACAATCTGATATAGGCTATACATATATATTCCCATTAAACATACAAAAAATTTTAAAAAGGAGAAATGAAAACCAAAACATCAACAACCATCAAAAATCCTCTAAATCACTAAGAATAAGAGAAATTGTAAAATTAGACAACTTTGAAGTTTCATCTCATGTATTTAAAAAAACTGGCAAAGATGATAAAAGATGAAAATACTAAATGATGGAGGGACAGTGGGAAGACAAGCACATGAATAATACTGTTGATAGAGCTGAAAACTGATCCGGCTACTCAACAAAGCAATGGGGAAACTAGCCTAGAAAACAAAATTGTTTCTAAGCTTTAAACAGGAATATCATATAAATCCCAAGAATGTCACAGACAAAGGTGAAAGTCCTATATATTCCAAAGTATTCCTATTAGAAATTTTGAGGATAAGCAAATGACCAGAAACAAAAGAGATTTCCATTTATTGGAAAATAGTTGAACAGAATGTGAAATACAAATGTAATGGAATATTATTGTATCATAAGAAAAGAAGATGAGAGGCAGCTAGGGGGCACAGTGGATAGAGCACTGGCCCTGGATTCAAGAGGACCTGAGTTCAAATACGGCCTCAAACACATAACACTTACTAGCTGTGTGACCCAGGGCAAGTCACTCAACCCCATTGCCTAGCCAAAAACAAAAAAGAAAAGAAAAGAAAAAAGAAAAAGAAAAGAAAAGAAGATGAAAAAGAATTAAGAAAAAAACTGATGAAAATAAACTAATGCTGAATTAAGGTATATAATAAAACAAAATAAGGTAAAAGTAAATAATACTAAAAATGTCAGCACTTATATCAATAAAATGATCAATTTTTAATTCAGAGTATTAATGATGGTGAATGTTGCCTTCTTTTGATAGAGATGATGGATAATGGGTGAGGGCTGAGACATATGCTATCACATATAATTAATTTACATTATTTAACTCTATCAATAAAAGTACAGGGGAGGGATTCTATGGGACTCTACACATTTAGAAAAAAAATTTTATGTACACATTGTCTTTCCTGTTACAATATAAACTCCATGAAGGCAGTGGCAGTTCCTTTTTGTATCTTTATATCATCAGTGCTTATGACAGTGGCTAGTGATTAATTAATGCTTATTGATTGATATGAGGTAGGAAAGAGTATTAAGAGTATTAGGAAATATTCCAAGATGGATATAGTTTATATTAATTACACACACACACACACACACACACACACACACACATACACACACACAAAAGTCATGTTGGGACAGCTAGATGGCATAGTGCATAGAGCACTGGCCCTGGAGTCATAAGGATTTGAGTTCAAATGTGACCTCAGCAACTTGACACTTACTAGCTGTGTGACCCTGGGCAAGTCACTTAACCCCAATTGACTGTCCAAAAAAAAAAGAAATCATGTAGTAAGGCTTCAGTGTAATGACTATTTACTTAATACTTTTGTACAGACCACAGTATGGACAAAGGAATAAAACTTTTATTTTAAAAAAGAAAATAAAAGAGTCTATCCCTACCTACAATGAACTTCTTTTTGGGAAAAGAGAATAATGACTAAATTTAATTTTACTAAAAATAATTAAATCACTAAAAAGACAAAAAAGTATAACAAGTCTAATATAATACTGCACAAACTGATTTCATAAGACAAAAAATGTAGAGGTAATCTGAGGCCACTGAATTTGGACAAGGAGAATTCCTGAAGTAGTCTGAGTTTAGAAGGGAAGATCTATGAATAATTAAGTAAGAGGAAGGTAAAAAAAATGGCTAAGAGGAAGGTAAAAAAAATGGCATGAGCAAAGATTTTACAACATGCATGTTTGACACTGGGCCATATTAAGCTTCTTTTTAACAAATCTATCACAAAATGTCTCTATCCCAAAATGTAGCATCATCTCATGTCGGAAGAAAAACAAATGTACTGACCACCTCTACTTATAAGCATCAACATGGCAGTCAAGTGAACACTAACCAAAGTTAAGTATTTAAGAAACTTTCAAACCCAGGACTAGACACTGCACAGTGAATATGGCAGGTGTCTTTTATACTCTATATTTATTTGGTTCATAATTCAGTGTGGGGGCAGGTAGATGGCGCAGTGGATAGAGCTCTGGCCTTGGAGTTAGGAGGACCTGAGTGCAAATCCAGCCTCAGACACTTGACACTAGCTTTGTGACCCTGGGCAAGTTACTTAACCCCGACCTCACTAAAAAGCAAAAAAAAACAAAAACATAATTCACACTGTAAACTTGGGAAAGATACTTTACTTCTCTAGGGTGGGCCTTCATTTGCTCTCAGCTGAAAATCAGAAAATGGAAAGACAGTACCAGGCACAGAGTCAGGAAGACTCATCTTTCTGAGTGCAGATCTGGCTTCAGGCACTTACTAACGGGTGTGATCCTTATCGGTAAAATGAAAAGTTGGACCAGATCAAGAGTTCTCAACCTTTTCTTATCCTGGACCACCTCCTGTGGCAGTCTGGTAAAGATCATGGATAACCTTCCCAGAATAATGTTTTTAAAGGCATAAAATGCAGAGAAAGAAAATATGAAGGAAATCAATTACAAATCAAAGTATTAAAAAGAGAAAAAAAAAACAGGTCCATAGGTCACAGGTAAAAAATTTTAGAAAGTTTTCTAAGGACATTTTGAAGTCTAAATAAAGAAGTTAAACAGAAAGAAAACACTTTGGGTCAAATGAGGATAACCACAAAAGGGATGCATATAACAGTAATGAGACTAGAGAAAAACACACATCTGAATGAGCATCTCGATTACCATGTTAACAAAAATCAGGCCTCTATTTGAAGCACCCCCAGGTTCATAACAGAACAAGATTTACCACTTTCCCTATTGATCTTTCCATCTTCTAACAAGAAGAACAGTATTGAGCAAAACCAAGAGAACACTGTACACTGTACAGCAACATTTTGTGCCAATCACTGATAGACATAGCTCTTCCCAGCAATACAATGACCTAAGACAATTCCAAATGATTCATGAAGGAAAATGCTATCCACATCCAGAGAAAAAACTATGGAGTCTGAATGCAGAACGAGGCATACTATTTTCTCTTTTTTTTCTTTATTATAGGTTGGAGTTGGAGTTAGGAGGACCTGAGTGCAAATCCAGCCTCAGACACTTGACATTTACTAGCTTTGTGACCCTGGGCAAGTTACTTAACCCTCACCTCACCAAAAAGCAAAAAAAAAAAAAAAAAAAAAAAAAAAAAAACGTAATTACACACACACACACACACATACACACATACACATATATACACACAAAAGTCATATTGGGACAGCTAGATGGCATAGAGGATAGAGCACTGGCCCTAATGCTTCTTTCACAACATGACTAATGTAGAAATATGTTTAATAATATTATCGTACATGTATAGCCTATATCAGATTGCTTGTCATCTTGGGGAGGGAAGGGGAGGGTGGGAAGGAGGGAGAAAAAAAATTTGGAGCTCAAAATCTTATAAAAGTGAATGTTGAAAACTATCTTTACATGTAATTGGAAAAAATTAAATACTATTAAGTGGGAGAAGAAAAAACAACAATATATAGATCCATTACAATGTAAGGTTCAGCTACGAATCAACGTGCTGATTTTACAGTCACTCACCTGAATCTGCTTTTTGAGTTGCTTGGCCAAACCAGTGTCCTGGAGAGCATTCTCCTGCTGTGCTGCATTTTCAAGCACATTAGCTGTGGTTTCTGCCTCTGGCATCCACTTTAGGAAGTTCTCCAGATCCTGGAAGGAAGCCTGCACCGTCCTCAGTTCAGCCTCCAAGGCAATCTGTCGGTCACGAATGCTGGAAGCAACAGACAAGCAAACCTTAAATAACTGTCCTTATGACATCCTATGTTATGTAAATGATGAATAAAAAATTAGTAGGTAACCTAAAAATCAAAGTTCATTTCCAGCAATTACGAAAAGTAGCTGAGAAATCTTTTCCTTTGTGTGTGTTGTGCACTTCTTCTGACAGAGGCAGTTAAGTGATACAGTGGATAGAGCATGCTTGGCCTGGAGTCAAGACTAGAGTTCAAATCCTACTTCAGATGCTTAATAACCATGTGACCTCAATCAAGTCACTTAACTTTTGTTTGCCTCACTTTCCTCAATCATAAAATGGAGATAATAGCATAGTACCTATACGTCACAGGGTGGTTTTGAGGATCAAACAAGATATTTATATACCACTTAGTACAGTGACTGACAAATAGTAGGCACTAAATAAATGCTTATTCCCTTTCTTTCTACCCCTTCAAACAAGAATAAGAATTTTCCATTTATATATATGAATATTAATTTTTAAACCCACAAAAATCCAAATTATAGAATCACTTCTATGAAAATTTGGGTTATCATTTTAATTTGGGGATAACATTTCCTATTTGTGCGTATTTCAAAAAGGGACTCGTATGGAAAACTGGAAAGGGGGCATTTAATTTAGTCATTTAATAAGCATTATTCTCTCTCCCTATATCCAAATAAAATAAAATGATTTAAAGTGCCCACTTTATGTTTTCTTATCTTTACAGATAAATAAAATTCATCACAAATTGGTTAAATAATAAATTTGGAAGTTGTCAGCTCAAATTTCTGCAAACTAATCATTAAAGATGCATGCAAATTAGCTATTTTAGACGCAGAATTACATATTAGATATTTCAAGAACCTAGTTGTGAAGCTGTAGTACTTATGAATTTTTATTTCTTCACCAGCAATTAGCACAAGATCTAGTACATATAGCTGGCATTTAATAAATGCGTTTCACCTGAGTCTAAAGATATCTATCTCATATATATTTCATTACAATACCACTCACATTACCTCAGATTAAGCCTTTATTTCTTTAAATCAGTCTATAATAGCTTGCAAATTGCATTCCCTAGATGAAGCTTATCCGCATTGAAGCTATGCCACACAACACGATGAAATTTAATCTCCCAAAAATGCAAATTTCATCATGTCCCATCCTCTGCTCTAAAATTGGCAATAGTTTCCCAATACATAAATGAAAATGTCCAGGATCCTTAGCCCTGAAAAATCAAAGCCTGATCCAACCTTTATCTCCCAGTATTGTCCCACATTAAGCCTTTTGCCCCACCAAACTGTTGGCTATTATTAGAATAAATCTTGCATTCAACTGTCTCTCTGTTTTTGTTCACATGGTTACCTCCTGCCTAGAGCACACCTCATGTCTCACAGACATGTCAGACATACATATATCCATCATATTTAGCTACATAAATCCTATTCAGTGGGAGCAAATAAATGGAAACAAAAGGGGTGCCCATTGGTTGGGGAACGGCTAAATAAATTGTGGTATGTGAATGTAACAGAATATAACTGCACCACAAAAAATGAGAAATATAAGGAATTTAGAGAAAAATACCAAGAGTTGCATGAATTGATGCAACAAAGAGCTCCAAAAAATAATACACATGATGACTACAACGTTGTGGAAATGGAAAAAACAATTTTTATAAATTGTATGCTGTAGTTATTATAGCCAAGGTAGGCCTGAGAGAGACAAAGAAATGAACTTCCCTTCCTTTTCATGGAGAGCTGGGGGGCCATCAATATGGAATACTACATCCCCTCTCAGACACAGTTGACCTACTGATTATTTTTACACAACTGTTAAATTTATTTTATAAGAGAAGATTTCACAGTGGTTGGTAATGAAGGGAGGGTATATCTAGAAATGGCTAGAATATTAAAAACAATAGTTAATCAAATAAAACATTTTTAAAAAATACTCCTTATCAATTAAAGCTAAGCTCCATGCCAACCTCTTTCATGAAGTCCTCATGGAACATTCTAACATAAAAAATCACATCTTTCTCCATGAGATCGTAGCACTGATCCACTGTCCTTGTTTGGATCATATACTCGCTACCTTATGCAATCACTTATATTCTTGTCAATGTATTATTCTCTTTAACTTTTACACTGCTACTAAACTAATGGAGAGGGGGGTGTCTAATCTCCATATGTAAGTAATACCTCACTGAGGTTGCTAAATAGAGTGGACATTCTTGTATTTAGATGGTCATTCCTTTCTTTTCTTATATATCACATTTGCTTATGAACTTATATGTTCAATATTCTGGATAATCATATTAAGAATTGAGAATAAAGGCTATAAAACACAAATGTTAAGCCCTCATAACAAAATAAGCAGTGGTGCTACCATCAAGTATAGTATTGCTGGTTAATAATATAAACTTTGTAGACCCAGATAACAAAAGGAAAATCTGACATTGAAATTGGTGGACTTCTAGCAATAGGATCTAGAAAATTATATAAAAGAGGAAAGTAGAGACAGAAGAAAGAAGAAACACAAATTCCAATCAAGTTCATCCAAAGAAGATAAAAACTGGGAGGTGTGGTCTATGATTCTCAGCAGACACTGTACTAATATAGTATTTTCTACCCAGTCTCCACCTCACTAAAAACTTAATATTTCATATAATCATTGTAAATAATAAAAATATATATATAATCATATTTCAGTATTTGTATTGCAACAAGTCATAAAATATCATGAATACAGTTTAATCATATGTGTGTTTGTTTCTAGTCAGTATGAGGACTACTTTGAAAAAACCCAGGTATACTGCCTCAGGCATGAGGAAACATGGATAAAACAGGGAAGATGGGTAACGCACTGACTTTCTCTACAACGGGACACACTGAAAAAAGGACAGGCTTTGGAGTAATAGGACCTAGGTTTAAATACTGCTCCTGACACTTCCTACATTGGGCAAGTCACTAAACCATTCTTGGACCAAGTTTTCTCACCTGTACAAATGATGGGTTGGACTAAGTCATCTGTGAACTACGTTTGAGATACATTATTATGATATGATTGCTCCAAACACATGTAGAGTTTTTTTTTTCCCTCCTTCCTTCTTTTGTTTTTTCTTTTTTGCATGGGTAGGGTAAGGGGTAGGCAGATGTGTTACTTAGAAGATGACCAAAGACTTAAATATGTTTAATTTATGCTAACTGCTTTAACATATGTGTGTGAATACATATGTGTATATATACACATATAAATAGATACGGATATACCTCAATTGTCAGTGATTTCACTGGTATAGAAAATTATTAGTGAGGAAGTTTTATTAATTAATACATATTATTACATATCAATACATATCATATCATCAATTAATTGATCCACATCTTATTGTCTTACATTAAGAGGTTAAAAGACTTGACCAGGGTCACCTAGATAGTACATGTCAGATGTGGGACTTGAAGTCTTGTCATACTAATCCTGAATATGGGTCTCTTTCCATGAAATCATGCTGATTCCCCAACTACTTTAATACTGAGGGGGAAATAGAGCAGGTGAGTTACGGGTAACAAGCAGAAAACTGTCAATGAAAAAGTCATGAATTCTGGAAAATATATATTTCAAACATATTTTGGAGGGGTGCAGTAGTGAGCAGAAGTATTTTGTCCCATTTGATACTGCTTACCTTCTAGACCTTTTTGATACCCAAGATGGGTTCTAGTGATACAGGCATATGGTTACTACCAAAGTACTCCAAAACTGCAGAAAAGGAAGACTGTCACTAACTCTACAAATGGTTGACAATGTCTAGATATATGGGAAGGGTACTTGAATGCATGACCCTTAAAATGTAAAAACTAATATTTTCACGGTACACTGTAAGACTATACAAGAACAATAAAAACAAATTTCCTAATTTGATAGAACTAATGAAAACAGAAAGATTTAGAAATTTATTTCTTTGTATGTTTCACATATTTCCCTCCTCAGATCTAAAAAAGGTGAAGGAGAAAACACAAAAAAAATAGAAGGAATGGTCTGAAAACAAACAAGACTTGCAAAAGAAAAAGCTTTGGAGAGGATGAACCCAGAAAACTGACCCAGATACCTAAACCTCAGCACAGGAGCACAAGCAGGATGGATAAAAGTTACTTTTCAACTTAATTCAGGTGGCAACATGGAATAGGATAGAGTGCAGGAAGACCTGCGTTCCAATCTTGTCTCACACACTGATTAACTGTGAACCTGAGTAAGTCACTTGCCTTCTCTCTGGACCTTAGTCTCCCCATGTGTAAAATGAGGATTAGATGGCCTTTGAAATCCCTTCTAGTCTGCTACAATCCTAATATTCATTGATTTAAGAATGATTGTTATTGTCCCATTAATTTTTAAAGATCCAACATCAAACTTGGTTTTAGTGTCAAACCAGGGGAGGAAATCCCGATAGAGGATTAAACTCTACAGATCATTTTTTAAGGAAGAAATAAAATTGAAAAATGTCTAATTACTGAAGAGATGTATTTTACGTATTCTACTCTGTAGGGGCTTTAATTATTAGAACAGGAATCAAATAGAACAACAATTAAGAAGAGTTTCAACATGTATATATATACTTAAATAGAAAAACTAATTTGGGAAAAGAAGAAAAAATTAATTGAAACAATTTTTGAAAATTAACAACCATCCTCAAAAATGACCAAATAATTGACTTCATTCAATGAGGAATTTCCAATACAGTTATTGCTTTCACATCATGACTTTCCCCATCGTGGTTTGGATATATCGTGAGTCAGTTTAAGAAATTAAATGAGAATTTTTGAGAAGTTTTGCAGAACCTGCAGACAACATGCGAAGACCAGCAGACAACACAGAAAAACGAGTTTTGAAACTGAGAAATGCATAAAACACACATATAGTATTATATAATATAAACATATTTTATCTTTTAACACCACAATAATTCAGACTTCTTATCTGGTGAAGGTAGGGCCAAAAAATGTTATGCGGATTTTTCAGATCACAGGGGCGCTGTGCCCCTAACTCCTGGGATGAGTAAGAGATAATTCTAGTTCTATAACTACTTTGACTGGGTAATGGGATGAAATTACTTCAGTAATCCAAAAGATCTTTGATGATGAGTGTAGGTATTAACTATGCTAAGGCAGATTATAAACCTCTGTAACTTAGTAAATAGTTTCATTACTCAATGATCCATCTTCATTCAGATAGGCTGGTTCTTGAAAAATTCAAACAGTCTGATGCCAAATGTATACTCAGAAGCTTCAGTACTATAGGTTTGACAGACAATCTCAGCCGACATAGACTTTGAGAACTGAGTCACTAACTGGCCTAGATGAATCATTAGAACTGAGATTTAGTAAAGATACACATACACACACACACCCATATATATGTATGTATGTATGTATGTATGTATGGCCCTGAAGATCTGATCTGACCCCATTTCATCTGATTTCAGGAACCAGAGCAGGGTTAGCCCGGCATATGCCAGTGCTGAAGGTCTTTTTGGCCCATCTTGTCCTATTCTTTATAAAAGTTAAGGAATAAATACTCAATATTTCATCAACCAGTGATTTTGTCACTATTTCCACTATAATACAGCAGAGGATAATAAGCTGTGTACCACTTCATAAATGATGCTGGATAGTTTTTCATTCTATTTGTTTTGGCCTAAACTTGTAATTTGTGAAGAACTCCAAGTGAAGAAAGTTGAGCATATTAGCAATTGTTATAAAGAGAAGAACAGGGCACTGAAATGTTCAGTGACATGCCCACAGCCAATGTATGTCTCAGGTAGGACCTGAACTGAGCAACTCTTTATCTACTATATCATGTAGTCTCTCCCTGACAACTGCTATGGCCAAAAAATTCACTCTCCTGAACATATAATCTGGTGAGGACTCTCCCAATTTAGCTAACCTGGTCCTAATATGGCAGATCAGGCAACTAGGTGGTGCAGCAGATAAAGTGCCAGACCTTCCTGAGTTCAAATATGGCCTTATATACATTTACTACTTGCGTGACCAGGGGCAAGTCACTTAACTCTGTTTGCCTCAGTTTCTTCATCTATCAAATGAGCTAGAGAAAGAAATAGCAAACCACTCCAGTATCTTTGCCAAGAAAACCTCAAATGGGGTCAAGAAGTATCAGACACAACTGAAATGACTGAACAACAACAATACAACAGACATACGATCCATTACCTGCTCATTTTCTAAGTCTTTCTGACTTGTCAAGGATTGTCTGAATGGATACTCCATTAGCAAAGAATTTAAGAACCCAAGGTCACCTTTATACCATTATAAGCCATTAGAGGAGGCCTCTATTGGAGTACTAAATTAAGAGTTCATGAAAAGAGAAACAGACTAGTAACACTAGACAATTTAATGGTATGCAACTGTATATTACTCTAATGAAGGCAGCAAGGTGGCACAGTGGATAGAGTGCTACGCCTGAGGTTGGGGAAAACCAAGTTCAAATCCAGCCTCAAATGCTTACTGCACAGCGACACTGGAATCATTTAACCCTGTTTACCTCAGTTTCCTCATCTGTAAAATGAGCTGGAGAAAGAATGGCAAGTCACTCTAATATCGATGCCAAAAAAACGCCAAATGGGCTCATAAAGATTCAAACATGACTGAAACTAGTGAACAACAATTTATTGACTTCCTAATATACTTCTCAGTCACTTTCACGTATTAGAGACCACTGTATATTGCTTATGGCTGTCTGTTTCCATGTAATATCTCACCTAATTAGAACTCGGTTAACTATACAGAAACTGTACCTATCACCTAGGAGGGCAGGGGGAAAAGGAGAGCACTGAGGACAGATTTGCTTACACAATTGTTTGGATGTAATTATTCTGAAGCAATATTCTGACACTATTTTACTCAAGGTCATTTCCACTTCTGAGAATCTAAAGATTTATCATAAAATATGGAGAAGAGTACTCCCAAGGAAAAGAAGACCGGGGGGAAACCTAACTGCAAAGAAATTTCACAAATAAAACTGTGGATCATTCCAATTATCAAGTAAATACACTGTTTAAGAAGATAGGAGGATAGAATGCATTTAAGAAAAAAAATCAATGGCAAAGAGTTTTAAATATTTTAGTGCTTAAATGGGTAAATGCTCAACTATCTAGAAATCTCATATAACCAAAAATTATTCCCCACAAGCAGTTGGGGAAAAGCTAAAGATTTTATAGTACTTTAAGTACATTTTTTTCAAACTTAGGAAAGGAGATGAGAGGGGAGGGGAAAAGGTGATTATGGGAGAAAAAGGAAGGAAGGAAGGAGGGAGGAGGGAGGAAGATCATATTCATTTGAAAGACTTCAACCAATGTGACTACAGAGCTCTCACATCTGTCTCCAGAAAGCATGATGTTCTAACAAAACACCATATATCTATTTAAAAATAAGTTCAAGTTTTTAAAACACTGTTGATGAAAGGGTAGTTGTCTTTAGCATTATCTGCAACTGAATGAAAATGAGTGTCGTGTTCTGTCTGCTAAGATAGATGAAAGATTACCTTTGAGTATAATCCATTTTTAATTGCCTACTCTATCTAACCCAACTATTGCTGTAGGTGGTCTTAAAATATTTACAAAGCAAAGGAGAAAAGAATTAGAGGTCCTAAATAAAGCAGATCTATATTCCTAAGTGATCGATTTTTCTAGAAAGTTTTATTCTCTGCAAAAAGTCTTTACTGTTTAGATTACACCTGAAATAGTGCCATTATATAGGAAAGCTATATTTAAGGATCATCTTTCTTTGCTAAGGAGGAAATCCTGCTGTTCTTTTCCTCTCAGTCATGGGTTACAGCTCATGTATCCAAACACACTGTCATATCCAACAGGTGTAATATCAAAATAGAACTTTCCTCCAGTGAGCCACAGAAAACTTAATATAATACACTTTTTCTTCTAAAAATCTCTTATGAAACATAGCATTTGCACTAAATTTCTTTCTTCTAAAGTCTAATATTTTCTCAAGACAGAATATCAACCATATTCATATTTTAATTTGCCTTAGAACTCTGTTCTAGGAGGTAGCTAGATGGCTAAACCGATAGAGTGCTGGGCCTGGAGTCAGGAAGACCTGAGTTCAAATCTGGTCTCAGACACTTGCTAGTTGTGTGACCCAGTGGGCAAGGCATTTAAACTGTCTGCCTTAATCTACTGGAGGAAACCATTCCACTATTTTTGGTAAGAAAACTCCATGGACAGTATGGTCCAAGGGGTCAAGAAGAGTCAGACATGACTGAACAACAAATCTATCTGCAGAAACTCTAAAGAAATTTGTTTTATAGATTGTTAGAAAAATAAAAGTAAAAAAAAAACTTACTATAATTTCTAAATTGCTGGCTAAGCTTTATGAATTACAAAGGAGTTCAATATTATCTACCTTAGTTGAATGCAGAATATTAATTCTGAAATCAAATTACTTTGAAGTAAATCACATCACGTATCTAAAGGTCTGGGAGGAGGAAATTCTAATTTCATTTAAAGACATTTTGAGTCATTCTCAAAACCAGGAAACAAGTAAATACTTTTGAGCGATGACAAATATAAGTAAGAAATTTTAAGCAGAAGTGAAAGACTATTTGTGGTTCTTCAAACCCTAGGTATTCACTAAGGTTGAAGAAAAAGCTTTCTCACACAGATAAAATGCACCTAAAATTGATGTACCAGGACTGAAAGACAAGAATGACTTAGCTTTGCTTGAAAAGTGCATTGTATTATACAGCATTTTCTTTACATACGAAGTAATTTAATTTAGACTTAGTAAAAAATGACATGTCCACAAAAGTACAGATAATAAGTACCAGAACAGTGATCAAACTCTCCTTCTAGTTAGCTTTCCATACTAGGATGTGATTACTGATTTTGGTGGGGTAGAAGGAGGTGCTGACCTCTGACCTCATTGATAAAGTGAACTGCTGCTAAAGAAGCTCTCCCAACAAAGATCAATACTACATATTCACTCATATGTAGCATTTAAAAGCATCAAAGCAGTGGGATAATATTTGGAGCAAAGCATACAGAGAGAAATATGAAAACAAAGCTAACAAAAATGGAATGAATAACAAACTTCAACAATTATTTAGGGAGAAATTCCATGGTAAATGCTAATTTACCATATATAAGGCGAAAACCACTCTACAAATATGATATAAAGCTGATAATATTAATTGTTTGCTTTCGAAAGGAACAAAAAAAATGGTAAACTCGATGAGGGCAGGTACAATATCTTCTTTTTTAATCTTGCCCAGTAGCTAGAACAATAATGTATAAATGATAAGCACTTGATAGGATGAGCATTTCCAGGACAACAGTGGCTATTTCCCTTCTGCATTTTGTCACCAGTAACTCTAGCACATTGTTTGGGAAAAAGTAGGTCTTCAATAGACGCTTACTGATTTACTTATTAATGGCAAAGACCTATTGAATGAATAAGTCATAGATAAATGGTTGCATGGAGGCAACCTAGATGGCTCAGCGGATAGAGTACTGGGCTTGGAGTCAAGAAGACCTGAATTCAAATCTAGCCTCACACAATGACTCTGGCAAGTCACTCAATCTCTGTTTGCCTTAATCCATTGAAGAAGGAAAAGGCAAACTATACTACAGCATCTTAGCCAAGAAAACCTCAAATAGGGTCATGGAGAGTCAGACATGGCTGAATGACTCAACAACAATAAAATGATTACATATTATCTCTGAGAATCATAGCTTAAATCTTTGGATCACTTACTTAAGAAATACTAAGAAATTATATTCCAGATGATTGTGCACTATTAACCAATAAAGTCTTTAAATTACCTTTGATTGAGGTTAACCCAAGATGCATTCAAGTCATCACCACTTTCTTTCACTTTCCTTGTGTCATCACTACTATAGGTCTGAAGCAAGTTCTTCCACAGATCATCATAGATTTTCATTGTAGCTTCACTTTTATTCAATTCCTCAATTAGCATCTAAAGTGCAATTTCAGGGAAAAAATAACATTAATGGAATTAAAGATGGAAGGTCACCACAACAAAATAAAAGTCCACCCAAATATCTAACACCAATTTTCTCATATCCTGAATGCACTGAAAAAATAATCTAAATAGTTATTTATAATCTAGTTTGCATAAGCATACACTTTTTAAATGGACTCAAAATATCTTCTAATATTAAATTGTATTTTTTAATTGAAGGGAAAAATAGAAATATCTAGAAACAGAAAAGTATATTCTGAGGCAAAGGCATACAGAACACATAGATATAGTACATGTATGTAGAATACTATAATAGATAGTACAAAGAGTACTATAAAAAGGTTCACCTAGAATAAAAGCAACAAAGGCAATCTTCTTGCCTTCTACCAGAAAAATATTAAGAATAACTATTAATTAATTCAGTATATCTATTCTTAAGTTTTATACAACATGAAACTATTAGGCAAAAGACAAACCAAATAAAGAGGCTGTAGTAGAGATATATCACCTAGAAGCTGGTTTTTAACACTTTGTGGCATAAACACATTTTACAGTCATTCTGTCACTCGGTCCTCACCACAGACCTTTCAAGATAGGAAAGGCAGTTACTAGACAGATGCAGAAACTGGGACCAAGAGAGAATAATCTACTTATTAAAAATCACATGGTTTATGAGTGGCCAATTCAAACCCAGGAATTTTCAGTCATTTTGTCTCTATACTATACCAGTAGTTTCAGGACTCCTTTATAGTCATCACACACATACAGGCTTTTGTTTAAGGGGGTTACATATATAAATGTTAACCATATTTGAAATTAAAATTTCTTACTATTATTATGAAAACTGCCTTGACTTCACAGATGCACTCTCAAAGGGTTTTGGGTATTCTTGGGGGACCCAGACTACACTTTGAAAACTGTCATGTTGTACTATAGCACAAGAGAGTTTGGACCACCCTAAAATATGTATGCTGAAAGCAGCTCAAACTCATGCTGTGAAGCCAATTGTTAAATTATCAGTGTGAGGATTTATATGTTAGAAGTCAGCAAATACTAGAAATCAGGGCATGGTTTATTGTTTTGCTAATTGTTTAGAATGAGGAAAGTTAGGGAGAAAAATTTAATACTACAGTATATGGGGTATACATCCTTTTTGCAAGGAGCCAGTTGTTAAACATTTACCAGCATACCACTGCTCTAAATATTCAACCATACTTCCAAAAGTCCTTTAATTGCTTCTGTTGAAAATTCCCTTTAAGATATAAACAAAGTACATATATAAAGTAATAACAATAGCAATTTAAAATCTCTATTTAGAACATCCTAAAAGTTCAATAATTCAATTCTATTTTTCTCCAACAGATCATCAAAAAATTGCGGTAGCCAATAGTTCACATTGGTACAATAAAGTGAAGTTTACATGAGAAAATTAAATATTGTCATTAGACATTGCAGTCTACCTGCAGTGTCCAGAAAATAATTTTTTAAAAATTTTCTTATAAGAGGTGTCTGAGATAACATCAGGATGATAACCCCAGGGGAAAAAATCAACTCTGCAAAAAGTAAATAAAATACTGCTCAAAGGAAAAATGTTTGAGGTGACCAGACATATAATAGAAAAAACATTAAAAGATTATAGTCTTCATGCCTTAACAATTACATGGAACCCCAGCAAGGTCAGTTGAAGATATTTTGTTTGTTTGAATGATTTATCTTGTCCATCTACTACCCCCTCAATTCCCAAGTTATAGATAAAAAAGAAAAAAATACTCTTCCAAAATAAATGCTTGGGAGAATATACAATTCAACACTAAATCTATTCTGAGCCCATTATAGATCTGCTTCTGTCACTAGAGTTACCAAACAGATGGTTATCAAACAGACTCTGAGATTTGGTAAAACACTAATGATAAACTACCAGGCACTGACTTTAAGTGGACTTTTGTTCTTCTATTTTAAATCAATCAACCAACAAATACTAATTAAGCACACACTACGTGCCAGGCAATGGGCTAAAACATTGGGGATACAAAAAGAAGCAAAATATTTTACAAATCAAAGATTCCACTCTTCTCAATTGTAATTCATACATCAAATCAAAGCAATATAATGATGATTAGAATACACTACCCTAAATTGCATTAATTATACCTATTATCCAATGTCTTAATATTTAATCACATTTTACAATTGAAGTATCCAGGCACTATATTCTTTTGGAGACTTTTAGAGAGAATGGGGAAAGAGAAGGGTCACAAAAGTGAAATAATTCAGTATGTCGAGAGTGATGGTAGCTATTTACTACAGGTTTGGGAAATACAAAAAATGTGGAAGGAAATCCTTCTTTGTCTCTTTTTCCATAATGGTCAAAAATAAATTAAATGTCAAAATATGATAAATTAAAAAGGTTGCATTATGCTCAATTTTTTTACATGTGATGATCAGAATGGTTAAGTCCATAATTATACAATTATTATTACAATAATTATACAATAATTATACAATAATTAACAATTAAATGTTAGAGACAGGTGTAGAATATAGGTCTCTATGGTTTTCAAGTCTAGTACTCTTTTCCACAATGACAAATTACATAAAATGGTGACAAAAAGGTGTTGGAGTTGGTTCTTTACTTAAACTTTAAACATCTTTGTCATTCACTCACCAAAGCAGCCCTAATAAGATGTGTGTACACAATAAATTTTCATGTTGTGGATCTATCTGATGTAAAAAAAAAAAAATTCAGTACACAATTTAAAAAAATATATATCAGAACTCTAAATACTGAAAGACTTCATAGGAAATCAATAAAATGAAACTTCACTGAAGAAAAAGAAATGCAAACAATCTGGTGAATCCTACTTTGTTCTCAGAAAGCTGTTTGATCAGTGGTTCCTTTGAGACCTCTGGGACACTATGGACTTTGGCTTCATGCTGTCGAATAAGCTCTTCAGCTTGTCTGGTTACATCCTTCCAGTGTTCGCTGTCAGCAAGCATGTTTTGGAGTTGCCCTTGTCGTGTGTCCACACCAAATTCAGTATTGGCCCATTGGATTTTTATTTTATTTACTGTAAGGGAAACAATGCAAAAAGTTAGGCCTCAAAGTTAATGTGAATTGAGAATCATCGAAAGACTGATTTATGTTTGCAATCTGGATGTCTGATAAAACAAAAAGATTTATGGTTCACTCTAAGAGAAGGAACCAACATGCCCATATACCTAAATTGTAAGAAATGTCCCTAAAGAGACAGAGGGACAGGGTAGCCTCTTAATTGTTGAAATTACAAATCTAAAATTACACACATCAAGGTAATCACCAAAAATGCAATAATCAACTCCAAATTAAATTAAACCAAAAGTCAAGGGATATTAAAGTTGATAGATCCCTGTTAAAAAACACCCTACCTGGTTTTACAGTTAATGGGGGATGGCAGGGCCTATGAATGTTATAAATGAATCACTGACAAAACAGAAAAGCAGGCCACTCTTGGGCTCAAGAAGTGATGACAATGGATGAGATGAGACCATTAAGGAGGAGGTTTCAGGGGGATTCACAAGATAGACAAAAGTACAAAGTACAACAGTATAGAAGGAAACAGAAAGGCACATCCAGTCAGAATAAAGAAGGGGAGCAATATTAGGGAGCAGTCAAAAATCACATTGTTTGTTCCAGCATTCTATACCCCAAGGAATACAAAACAAAAAGAAAATGGACTTAATCCTACCACATGATAAGTGATAAAACTACTCCTACAGACACAAAGATTCTTTAAGGCCACAAGGATTTATTTGCTAAATTAACTTTTCCAATTAACTTATTGCTACCTTAATCCTATACCTTTTAAAACAATTAACTTGAATCCCATCAGTGAAATGAGGCTCAATAGCAATACTTAAGTTATAGTAGCACTTTCTTGTGTCCCTGCCTTTATTTTCTTGGTTGCTTAAAAACAAATGTGAATAAAATAAACCCAAATTGTAAGTAATTATAATCTCTAATACTCCAGATTAATTTTCATTAAGTGAAAAATCACTGCCTGCTTTAAATTAGTACATTTTGATACTGAAAGATTTATAATGACATAACATGAGTATTGTTTCTGCACTGATCCAGCTCACAACCATTCAACGCAGAGTAGACGAGAGTAGAAAAAGAATTCATCCAGTTGCAGGTAATGTGGTGATGAGTCTCTTCAAAAAAGCTGGGCTACAGCTTAACACACATGGATTCTATCAACAGGGCTGTGCTCTAAGTGCCTACAGTCGACTAAGACTTCCTCACACTGACCATGCAACATGAGCAAAAGAAATGCTTCTGAATATTAAATTTATAAATTTGAAAAATAAGGATTCTTATGCTTCTGTGTGCCAAAGGATTTGGGGGGGCTTTACAGTTCTGTGTTCTTTATGTTAAGGAGATCTCTTTGCCAAACATAGAAAGTTCAACAGAACTCTAAGAGCTTGCAGTCCTCCTTCAAGAACACTTTTTCACCTCCACAACTCAATGAAGCATCCAAGTGAGACTTGGGGAGAGATATCTGTACACAACCCAAAATAAAGACACTAATAGTTCACAAAAGCAAGAGTGATCTGATATTTGACACAGAGGGAAATAGACATAAAAAGAATATTCTGCAGTGTCAATTCTAAGTACAAAACTAAACTACAAATTCAAGAAATGTACTACTTATACAAATGTGCATACCCAAACACTATGTGTGTGTATAAAAATACATAAAATACACCCATATATATGTATGTACATATACATATATGTATATATATATGTGTGTGTGTGTACATATATATATATATATATATATGCCATATATACATATTAGTAGGATCATGATTTACAAAGGGAGGAAGACAATGACAGATAATGTTTGAGAGACTTACATCTTTCTGTGATTGCTGTTTTTATATCTGTACTGGTAGTTTTATTCTTCAAATTCTGAGCCAAAGTAAAAACATAATCCAGTTGGGAGTGACGTTGTTCTAGGTCAGCCTTTGTAATCTAATAAAAAAAAGTTTGTATTATATTTGGTATCAATAGGCATTAAGGTACAATGGAGAGAGGTCTGACCTCAAAAGTCAGCAAGACAGAAGTTCAAGTCGCCTCTGACTAATTCCGGCTGTTTGATCCTAGGGAAGTCAGTTAGGCATTCAGTGCTCTGGGCAAGTCTCTAGGGCCAACCGAGAAGGTGCCAAAGTCCTGGATCTGTGGTTGCCTTAGTACAGGAAACTCCTAGGTGATAAAACTCTCTCTAAAACAGTCCTCTATCTCTATTCCCATGTATTATAATAAAACACAAATGTTAGTTTAATAAAAAACAACTCTAATGAATCTAATGATTTTTTTCCCAGAAAGACTCATCTAGATTCAGATGTGTGTTTAAGATGACTCCCAGTGTTGACAAAGAAATAACAAAAAAACAAGCTTGACTAAGCATTATAAAGGTGATTAAAGAGTGCAAGTATACCAGTGAGGTTTGAACTATAGACTAATTACATTAATGATAAACTGCTGCTTCAGAAGCATTTGTACCATTTAATACTGATTAAGTGTCCTGATTTTTTATCACATAAAACTGATTAATACTTAAAGAAAAGATGATGAAATCAGTGAACAATTTGTGTTTAAAGAATGATGATCATAAAAAAAAAAAATATGGACCAGAATAGATGGAGTATAAGGTTTTACCAACAGCTAGCAAAGGAATTGAGGTAGTGCTGGAGGAATAAGATGTACTACAACACAGACTACTAACTCAGTCCCAGAGAAAAAACTCTCATTTTTCAAATATCAGCCTACCTACAAAAGTCTTATACTTAAGTAAAACAAGTTCCTCTGATTTAGGATGCAAAAAGTAATTTAATCTTGAAAATTCAGACAAAGCTTCAAGAAATCCTACAAATAGAATGACCTTGAATGGCTACATTCAATGCATTTATATTCTATTTTGTGCTGTGGATAGAAAACACTCCATACTCAACTAGTGTCTAGTTCAGTTTGCAGTACCTTGCAAATAAGTGCGTAAGAGATGTATGCTGGTTTTATCCATTAATATATTAGCAGATTAATCAACAGGGTGCATCTGCAACCTAATGGGGTAAAAGTGGATTTTATGAAACCCAATTGTTTTAAGTGGGAAGGTTTCTGCTTCCTTGTACTAAAAGCTTTCTCAATTCCACATTCCCACAGTTAACACCACAAATGAAAAGAAGATTTTTTTAAGGTCAGTCTTATCTGCTTTTATGATTCTGGGATTCAACTATACACCACATACTTACTTTCATACGTTCAATTGTCTGTTTGATCTCTTCTGCATTCCCAACAGTGACAATATTGGACTTCAGCATTTGTTCAATCAATACTAGCCAGTCAGCTAGTTCGGTGGTAGTTTTATCCAGATCAGGAGGTAATGAAGGTTCTAAAGATGGCTGTGTCTGAACAGTAATTTCTGAGGTGGCAGGATAAGTTAAAAGGAAATACAAATAAATCAGGAGGAGATTTTGCTACTACTTTTTTATCTTTCAAATGAAATGCTGAGAATTTTAATAAGCAAATCTCCATTTTATATATTAGTCACAATTAATTCACATTCATATTGCAATACACATTAGAAGAACTGGAGAGAGAAGGTTTCTCTAGAATTGAGTTCAAGTTCCAACTCTGGTACCTATTACCACTGTGACTTGGGGGAAAATAATGTATTTGCTCATCTATAAAATAAGGATACTTGAACTACTAGTGACGTAGGATTTTTGGAAGGAAAGCATTTTGTAAAATATATAAATTCTAATAGAAACATTAGCTATTTTTGAGGAGCAATATGATGTAATGGAATTAGTGCTGGTGGGAAAATCAGAATATCTGAGTTGAATTCTTAGCTCCAACAAAGTTTTTTATTCTATTGACATGTTTTGTATTGATGTCATAAACATTTACAAATTACTCCCACTCCAAGAGTTCTTATGAAAAACATTAAGTGAAACTAACATTATGATGACATCATTTGAAAGAGAAGACATCATTTCGCATCTGTAAAAGCATTCCCCCATGCAGCTATTTTCAATATTTTTTAATGGAGGTCTATTTTTTTCTCCCTCCCACCTTCTGTGTCATTAACAAAAAGGGAAACAAAACAAATTCCTTGTAAAATTATGCATAATCAAGCATTGGATGCATACAAAAAGATTAATGTCTTATTCTCTACCCTAAATCCATGACCACTCTATCAGATGATGGTACATCACTGGTAAACTGGAATGATGAATAATCACTATATTGATCATAGTTCTACAGCTTTCAAAGATGTTTGTCTTTACAGTGTTATTTTTATTGTATCACTTCTCTTGGTTCTACTCATTTAGATTTTCATCAGTTTACATTCTTCCAACTCCTCCAGCTCATATGACAGTGGGTAATAAAATTGCATATAAATATATAACATTTGGGAGCCTTAAGTTTTTTCTTCTACAACATCAGTTTAATAATAGAAATGCTACATAGTTAGCAGGCAATTCTTAAGGAAAGTATTTTATTACTGTCAAAACACTATGTAAGTATAAGTTAGTTTTCCAATGAAATTTTTTAAATCTACCTTGCATTAATATTTTAAGTTAGGGCATAGTGTATAAAATATAACTGGCTAAAATCACTGAGGGTGAAAGACTACAAGAACATTATTAGAATTCTGTGTTTCACTCTATAAGGGCAAATGTCATTTAATTATTGCTTTCCCAAAGATTTCTTTCAACTACCTACCATCTGTGAACCTGGGGAAAAATTTTTCTCCCACACAGCATATTCACTGAAATATAACAGATGCAGTTATGGAGTGAATCACCTCATGTGTCCCAAGTTTATGCTGTTATAGGTCATTCAGAGATATGCTTAAGTAAAGTCATGTGTGTTTCCAAAAAAAATCTTTAAAGTATAACAGGATAGATATGAATCCTATATAATCAAGAATCTATCTAAAATAAGGGCAATCACCGCCAATTTATCCATCTAAAGTCCATATGTTTATATACCAAGGTAATATTTAAAGTGGGATACACCTGTAATAATGTAGATATTTCCTTGTGTATGAAAAGCCACCCACACATTCATACAAGTACATATGTATGGGCATATGTATAAAATTATTTTATTCTCATACCAGAATTACAAACTGATTTGACACTAGTTGAAAAGCCACAGCATTTGGTGGCTGAGCGGATGGAGCACTGGGAAGTGTATTGGAAAGACCTGAGTTAAAAATCCAGCCTCATGCACTTAATACCTATATGACCCTGAACAAGTCAACTAACATCTGTCTGCCTCAGTTGCCTTAACTACAAAATGATGATCACAGATCTATTCCCAGAGCTGCCATAAAAATCAAACGAAATCACACTGAAATATTTGTGAAGCAATTATTATAGTGTCTAGCACATAGTAGGTGCTAAGTAAAGTGTAATCCTTTACGTACTGATTAAAAATGTTATCAGTTAAACTCTTTACCAGATTCTACCTATGATTCTTTGAAATTAAAATAGAGATGAAAAATAACACATTAGAGATCTAATACATAGTGGATTATGAGGCAAGGCTTAGAGTCAGAATGACTGAGGTTCAAATGTTGCTTACTAGTTCACTTACTAGTGAAAATGGACAAATTGTTTAACATCTCAGTGACCAAGACAGCAAAGACTCTTACTTACAGGTGAGTGACCCATTTTACTCATAGGATTATAGATCTACTTAGAAGTGACCTCAGTAGAAATCTAATCCAAGGTCCCCATTTTACTAATGAAGAAAAGGAAGACAAAGGATGGTTAAGTGACAGAAAGGTCATCTAGATAGTTAAATGTCAGAGAAGGGAACTGAATCCAGGTGTTCTCACTTCAGAATAAGTCTTTCTTCCACTGGACCCTTCTGGCTCCAAAATGGTGGAGGAAAGCTCCGAAAGTGACAAAATCATAGATGCAGATCTTAAATATGAGCTACACTTTGACAACAAGAATATATACATTTTGTGATGTTAAAAAAAACAGAAAAGGTATTTCTACCACAAATATTAATAACTGAAGGAATGTACAAAGCATGATTGACAATGTATATAATAACTGCCTAATTTCAAGTCATTCATGCAGGAATTGTGGGTGTTCTGGGAAAAAAAAAAAGAAAAGCTCTTTGAGGGCAGTAAGTATGTCTTTTAATTCTTTTGTGTCTCCAACAACCCTCAAAAGTATCCTATTAATGAGAAGCAGTGTGGTTTGTGTGAGATAGTGTGTTGGGGTGGAAAAGTAAAAGACTTTTATCTAGGTTAAATACTGATGTAATTAGCTATGTAATCTTCAGCAAATGACTGAGCTTCCCTGGGAGTCAGTTTATATAACCAAAAAATTAAAGTGTTATTTATTAAATGATCACTATGTGTCCTTCAGAACATTCTGAGACTAAGGCAGAAAACAGTTTGAGAAGTACCCTGGCTAGGAGTAAAAGTGTTGGATTTGGAATTGGAAAGATTTAGGATCAGATCTGAACTCTAACATTAACTAGCTGGTCTCAGTTGATTCAGCTGTGAAATGGGGATGACAACATGTGTAATACCTACATTACCAAGGTTTTATAAGATTCATATGAGGTCATCTATGTATTATTCAAATGCTAAGGTGTTTTATAAATGTCAGCCATTACTACCCCTATTATTCCACATTTAAGCACATCCCCCTACTTAACATGTTCACTAGCTGAGTGAAAAACATAATGTTATATAAAACATTACAGGGAAACAACGGCATAGAAGTGATGACACACAGGCTGATATTCACAAGAGGGGAGGCACTGGGGACTACAGACTATCACATTCTCATTTCAGGCATCATAATTTTCCCATGAGAATCACTTATAATGAATTATGACTATGTTGTTTGGGGTAACAACATGGAAATGCCAATATTTAATGAGAAGCTATCATCCCAGTCTAATTAAAATAATCATAATGCTAGTATTAACTATTCTACTCTAACACTTTTCATTCATTCAAGAGGTAAGATTGTTTTTAAAGAGATTTCTCTTTAGAAACAATCTTACCTCTTGAGTGAATAAATAGGAAAAACTGCTTTTAAAACTCTTTTAGAAGAATGGCTTTATAAAGAAATAATTAGAAAGATAAGGGTCTATACAGAATTAAACAAAACTAAAGTGTCAAGTTTTCCCTTACTCACCAGAGAGCATTGAAGGATGGGGCTCTGAAACATCCAATTCTCTCTTTCTCAAGGTGCTAGGGACATCTCTGTACAGCTGTAATTTCATACACACAGAGAAAAAGAAAGGTAGGAGAAAATATTATTTCCCACACAATGAAGAATATTTTAAAGTTCAAATTATATTCAAACTGAACATTTTTCTATTATTCTAACTAGTATATCAACAATTATGTTTATTATTCATAGCCATCAGTAGACTTTTAAAAATCAAATAGAGCTGTGACTTTATTGAAGAGGGTTCTTCTCTCCGTTAGTATAGAAATTCTTTTTCATTCTCTATTACATCCATATTCTAATTCACTCAATTAGCTAAACAGAAAGGGAAGATCACACATTTTAAAAATATCTTACAAGTTAAAATAATTCAAAATAATAATAAATCCTGTTTCCAAAAAAATACATCATTTTCATTTAACTTTATTATCAATAGCTAAGAGACATCTGTGCATAATCAAAATAAAAATCACTACACAAGAATAGGAGTGATAAGATATTAGATTCTTCTAAACATAGTAACAGAAAGGAATGAAGGATGGGAAAGGTTGGGCTTCTTGAGATTTTGGTGTATGGCTTTGTTCTAGGTGATTTGTTTTCTGTACCTTCAACTGTCCCTTCAATTTGGAGGTGGTACCTACCGCTGCTACTCTGCAGTTCAAATGAAATAATATATGTAGTATAGTATTAAAAACAAGTCATAACTGTTACTATTATTACTATGACTCTAATTAACTGCATATTTTGACTTCTCTCCCTCCACCCCATTTTTTAATTGGGTAATGGTGGCAAAGGCAAAAAGAATGCTTTTGATGAAGAAAAGGTGTCTGAGAAAGAAAAAGTGAGATAAAGAGATCAGATTACAACAAGTGAGAAGCATGGTGTGAAATGCAGAAATAAACGCTAATAGAGACACTAACAGGACAGTGTCCATAATAAAGAGAACAACAGTCCCACCATAAAGACTACACAGAGAGTATTAAATTTAGTTCTAGAGATCACATTTTAGATACTATATTGATAAACTGGAGCAAAGAATCATAAAATTAGAGCTAGCAGATATCTTAAAAGTCATTGATTTAAAAACTCCCCATTTTATAGATGAAGAAATTTTAACCTGCATAATCAAAGTAACTTTCACAAATTCATCCACAGGAAGGCCAGAAAGATGGTGAAAGAACATGAAATTAGATCCCATGAGAACCAAGTGAATGAACAGCAATATTTAGTTTGGATAACAGAACACTTTTAGCAGGGGGTAAGTACAGAAGGAAGGAAGGAAAGGAGAAGGGGAAGAGGAGGAAGGGAAAAGGGAAAGAGAAGAGGGAAAGAAAAAGGGAAGGGAAAGTAGAAACAAGGAAGACAGGAGAGGAGAGTTGAAAAAGAAGGGGGAAATGAAGGGGAAGAGGGAAGAGAAGGGAAGAAATAAACATTTATTAAGTGCTTAATATGAGTGAGGTACTTTACTAAGTTTTTTACAAATATTATCTCATTTGAGCTTCACAACACCCCTGGAGGTGGGTGTTATTATTATCTCCATTTTATAGTTGAGAAAAATGAAGCAGAGTTTAAGTGACTTGCCCCTGGTCACTCAGTTACTAAGTGTCTGAGACCAGATTTGAACACAGGTCTCACAGACTCACAGACCAGAACTCCACTGCATCAACTAACTGCCTCTTAATGACCACATGACAGTGATATTAAACGGAATTATCACACAGAAGATAGACCAAATATGTTTTGCTTCCATTAAGAGGGCAGAACTAGGGTCAATGGTTAGAAGCTGAAGAAGGAAAAACTGACTAAGAATAAAGAAAAACTTCATAAAAATTGCAGTGGCCAAAATTGGAAGGGGCTGTCCTGAAGGATGGTGGCACTGGAGTTCTCCAACCAGAATATAATAAAAAAAAAAGACACTTGCTAGAGACTTTGTAGATGGATTGGCTTTTATATTTTATATTTTATGATTTTCTATTTCCTAAATGATATTCAAATAGTTTTTTTGCAAGAAGTTATGTTATTCTGGGTACAAAAGAATTCTTTCAAGCCAATTATTTATGACTATCTCAAGCAACATTAAGTATTCACTATTTCATGTACTTCACAACAAAACACTTAATACATGAACATTTTTGTTTTAATAGTTATCCTATTTTTAAGATAACCAAATAAATATTTCACTGTATTTCATTAATATCATATGCACCCCAAAAAGAAAAATGGGGGAGGGTGCCTTAAAAAAAGGTAAAATATAATATCACAGGATATCATTCTTACAACAATGAAATCACATCAACAAATATTTATTGGGGACCTACAACATGCAAGGCATTTCAGGCATACCTTATTCCACTTTATATTAAGAGTTTTCATATTTCCAGAAATATAATGTCTTTCTTTCATACTCAAGTCGTTAATTGTAAGCAGCTCAGGTAGTCTTTTGTTCAACCACTTAAGATTTTCCTTTTGTACTTCTATCTGCTGGGTTAAGTCCTAAAGGGGGCAGAAGAGAGCTTTAGTTAAAACTCAGCTGCACAAGCATTAGCAGAATAATAGAAAAAACTCATCTTTAAATCATGGATTTGGCATTTAAAAAATGTTCATGCATAAACATACTACACTCTGATAGGAAATAATAGTAACAATCCCCGAAAATAATTTCTTGTGGAATGAAGTTCTTTACATAGGAAATAATCTCTAACAAAAAAGTAATGCATGTCCTTAAATTTATATAAAAATACACTTACCAAATAGAATGCAGAAAAAATAATGCCTCTAGTTTTATCTATACTTGTTATAGGATTAATTTGGACCCATTCAGATGAAAATATTTTAAAGAATAGAAATACAAAGCAGCAATTAAGAATCAAAGTGTAATAATGTAAGGGTACCTAATGTGAACACAATATTAAGGCTAAAGACTGCCAAGAGTTACTAGTCATATAACTCAATCATTTATAAGTTTCCACAACTCAATGTATACATTGCTCTAGGGAGCTGGATCTTAACACAGAAAGACCATGCCTGAGCCACAAATCATTACATGATATAAAAATATCAGAAGTCTGTTTCAAATAATGAAATGGTAGCATCTGGCCAATAACTCTTATGCTAACAATCTTCTGAAAGTATGACTTCAAGTTTCCCTTAGTGCCCCTTCAGAGCTAAACTTAATAATGCTATGTAATGTTCCTTTACAAATATATTTTAATGTTTTTTATTTACCCTCACATTGAAGATTTTTTTCCTCCCTATTATCCTGCTACATTATTTCCATTCTTGCATTTAAACTTCAAAGAGATAAAAAAAAACAAAGGGTATTCTATAACTTGCCTGTAGTTCTTGGACACTATCTTCCATCTCAGATGAAGGTGTCTTTTCCAAGGCACTTTCAGCCTTTGATACCCAGCAATTAATTTCAGTCAACCTTTTTCTGAATTTCAGTAGCAGTTCATTTTTTGTTTCTAGGCTAGAAAAATCATTATTGAAAATTATTGAGCAAACCAACTAGTTTGACAGAATACTGTATCCAGACCAAGTCAAAAGTGTCAATTCATTCTTATTAACAATAATGACAGAACATCTGTTAAATGGGTTTAAAAGAAGTGAATTAGCATTCTAAAATACTGTATCATACTGTATGACAATCTTGCCTTGCTTATTTTCATTTTTTTCTCTCTCAAAGCTATAAAAAGCTAAATGAGCTATGCAAAAGAAAATTTTGCTTTTTTTAATACAGAGTGAAATCAAAGGTATAACTTAGTGTTTAATCATTAAATAATAAATATCCTTGCTATACACAAATTAATTTTGAAAAACAAAGTAATGATAAACACAATAATAGGGAATGGAATTTTTTTTTATTTTAATTAAAAAGAAAAAACTATCTGAGGCAAAAGGAGGAAGAGATTTGCCTATGATAGTCATACAGTCAGTATTTTGTTAGAGGAAGGACTTGAACCAAGGTTTGGTCCTAAGGATGATTTTCTAACCATTGTGTGTATTGTTTGTCTGGTGTGAGTGTATGTGCCATACACATATTGTAAAAATCATGTATGTGTGTGTGTGTATGTATATTATATATGTATATATATGCATATGTATGCATTATATATATATATTGCTAGGGAATTATTTTTAGCCATTTTATCACTAATTTTTAACTGTATTTAGATTTATATAAGACTTTAAATTGTCCTCTATGAAATTCTAGTTAACATGCTAACATAATATTCCTGGGTAATGATATTATTAGATAGGCATAAATAGTTTTGGACTAACTAGTCATTGGGTATTTATTCATAAACCATGCATATTACCTAATTTTACTTAGCATACAGAGTTTATTTAGATATAGAATCTAGATGATTTAGAATCATGCAGAAGAAACAAAGTGGTATTTAACTGTGTGAGCATTTGACTATTAGTCCTCAATAATAGTTAATTGCTGAATTAAAAATTGTTATTGATCAATAAAGTTCATATGTTTTTGGCAGCAATATCAACCTAAGATGGGTTGACATCATGACATCTTTTTATAAAATTAAAAATAAACTTAGCAAATCAAATGGTTCATTTGTAAAAACTGAAAAGGATATTTAATTCATTGAATGTATTATCATTTTGACATGCAAAAGAATGAGTAGTGCTACTTCAGTGATATCCATTCTACAAAGATTTATCAATTTGAAACTCCTTTGAAATTCCTGGACCATCTCCAATTGTCTTCATTTATATCTAGCCACTGGACCCAGATGGCCACGGAGGTTAAAGTGAGGCTGGATTTCATGCCTTAGCAAATGGCTTAATGAATTTTAATTCCCCCTGCCCACCAATATCATTTGATGGTTAACCTTCTAATGAACTTCTTTGAATTAGCTAGTTACTTCTTGGAAAAGACAAGTGCAGTCCATCCTAGAAGTCTTTCCGACTTGATAGACCATTGAAATATTAATAGCTTCCTCCTCCCACTCCTCTGTCACCAATACAAAAAAAAAGTTTTCCCTACCAGGATTATTAACAGTTATTTGTAGAAATTCATTCCACATTTTATTTCAAATTGCTTGCTGTCTGTCCTTCATTCTTGAAGAGGACCATGACACTGTCAGTGAGGTGATGCCATGACATGCAAGTGAATTGGATTTAAGTAAGGGTGAGCTATTCAAAGTCACTAGCCTCACTTTTAGGTATTTAAGGAATCCATAATTTATCCAGGGTGACTGTTTCCTTCACTAATCTTGGATCTGAAGAATATGAGTCTTAGTTCCATCATCTACAAAATGAAGAGTCTGAACTTGATGATCTCTTAAGGGTCTTGCCTGGTCTGAAGAGATGATCCTATAAGTCTTAACAAACTTTATAAGAAATTAATATGTATCTCATCTCTCAATCAACTACAGAATATCACATTCCTAAAAGTAAGTACTAAGGGGCCACTTATAGTTTTCAACTTCACATACTTTGGGAAAAGCATCATGTTTATGGTACTTGCATAGTAAAAATTGGACACTGGGAATAGCTGAACTTCCTTATACAATCTACCTTTAAGCAGGTACAATCGAAAGGGAGGATTGATACTCATTAAGGTAAAAAATGAATGGATCATGACATTCAGGCGGAAATGCACCATAGGTACACATAAAATAAATGTCAGAAAATTTTCTAACAATGGAGGACAAAAGGATCGAACCCCTTCATCTTGTTTTCTAAAAGATTCTCTACAGGTAATTTTGAAGAGCCTGCAGTTATGACTGAGATACCTAAGCTTTCTCTCCAGCACTTCTGTGGCAACTGCATTCCAACGTTCACAGAGCTTTGTCAGCTTTTCATCCAAGAGACATGCATCAACTGTACTGGTGAGTTTGTGAATGATGTCTTTTCCAGTTCGAACTAGTGGTGAAAAACTAGGCAGGCGGCTGCTGACTCCCTCCTCAAGTTCCTGCCACAGATGCAAAAGCCAAGATAAATTCTAATGTTAGATTAAACTGTTTTGAAACTCTCAACCCATCTAGGTAGTATAGTATTAATTTAAAGACTGCAGAAGCCTATGAATGGGAAGATTAACAAAGAAAACACATCTCATTAGTTAACTCTTTTAGAGCAAGTCAAGGGAATTTCAAAGGAAAGAATAAATGTACTTTCAGAGCTAATTCAAATTTATTCATTTTACTAGATTAAAAATAAAGCAAGGAAGGAAAATGTTCCAATATAAAAGGCACCATTTAAAGAGGGTTACATGAGAGACTCTATCACATTTAGTAAAAAAAAAAAAAGAAAAAAGAAAAACAAAAAAAGACTTGCTTCTATTTCTCCCAACCATGTCCGTTTTTCATGAGACTTTTTTATTAATTGCCTTATAATCACACTCATAACCTTTAATGCTTTACTTATTTTGACACAATAACAATGAACTGCAAATATCGCAATGCAAAGACATAGGAAACTGTTTTTTTTTTTTAAATTTAATTCCAGATTCAAATTTCTTATTCAAAAAAAAAAATTCTTAGGGGAAGCGAGAGAGTAGGCAGAGTGATAAAGGAACATAAATAAATGTCTATAACTAAGCAAAAATGCACGCAAAGATAACCCAAGCCAAAAGCATTTCCTTTATTTTCTCTCACTACCTTTAGATTTAAAAATATGCGCAAAACTTTTAAGAAATTAAATTTTATTTTTACCAATAGTCTGAATTAAAATTTAATTTCTTACCATTATTATAAAAGATTACCTCAATAAGAATGATTTTGCTGCCGTTACTTTTTAAATTAGAGGGCCATGTATCAAGAATATTAGTGAAAATGCTAACAAACTTGCAAGTGAAGCCCTTAAATATTTAAGTCCATAAAATACAAGGAAGTGAAACTTTTTATATTATTAAATAAAATAACTTCATAGGCAAAAAATTAAAAGAGTTTAGAGACCTAATTTGGTAAACAAAAATATATTAAATAAAAATGACTCTTGTAGCTACCATAAAAGCTCTCACTTTTGTTAATATCACTATTCAGAGAAAACCCTGATTAAAATGCCATTCCTTCCTCATCACCCCTACTCTATTAAGAAAAAAAAAAGCTTAAACATATTCCGAGTTTAAATTGTAACTGACAAAGTAATTACAAATTATTATCGATACATAGGTAGAGGAATATTTTTAATGAATAAAAGACCGAAATAACTTCCATGCTGCCAAAACCTCATTTTTAAGTTATTGAATCAAAAGCCACTAATAGCAAGGCAAGTATCTGACCAGCAAATCCTGTTTTGACAAAACAGCCCCTACCTGCTGATGTATCTTAGCCTTCTCTAGATCCAGGCCGCCATCTGCAGTACGGGCATCAGGCAATAATTGTTCGGCTTCTGTAAGCCACTGGTTGAAGTCATTCAGGTCACGATGGAAGTGTCTCCATTCTTCCACAGCTCTATCAAAACGACTTTTAGGGAATAAATTTTAAAAAAAAAAAGTGTTTTCCCCCATTGCAATGCATTGGAACATTTTGGTTCGTAGAACAAGTTGGCATGAATTTTTATTTTTTGACTAGAAGCTTTAAAAGTATATGAAATCCCTAACTAGAAATGAAAGAATTTCTCAGGATTCTGGACAAATATTCCATTCTGGAAAGAACTTCTCATAATTGAGGATAAATATTCCACAATGCCGATTAGTTCTTTTGTTGTTAATTAGGAGATTCAGATACTTTTAAAGCTTCTAGTAAAAAAAAAAGGAACAATTCATAACAATTTGTTCTATAAACCAAAATGTTTCAAATTATCGCAACTGATAGTTCCTTCAGAAAATGTGATCTAAAGCTATTATTTTCACATAATATCCTCAATACAACTTCTAAATTGGAAAGAGCTCATCACTGCTTGATGATGTTAGTTTTCCAAATTGTCTCTAGCTCAGGAAAGCAAAGTTGATCACTTTTAGTCAAATTTATCCACTGACTTTCAAACACTTCAAATTTTAGAAATGGGACCACTTTTTATGGAAACCAATGACTTTGTTAACCCTTAAAATTGTGTACTATCAGGCTCATTTTGAAAAATCAAATAACTTAGTTACAAAAATAAACAAAAACAAAGCTTAATCTATGTTAGCAAGCAAAACATCACAGGGAAATACTTCTCATGAACCCTAACCATGTTCCCTCCCCTTTTTATTTTTTCCTTTATTTTTGCAAAAAATTCCACCAGGTGCTAAGATGGAAAAAAAAAATGGTTCATGAAACAAAGTGCAAGCATAGGCAATTGCTATCTTGTGGAAACATTCACCAAAATATATAAAAATGTTAATGGGCCCCATCTGGCAGCAATAATAGAAATAAATACAGTGATTTCTGTTTCCGAAATCTTTCCTGGTGAAATCAACATTTATGTACCTTGCGGTTGTCTACTGAGTCTTTTAAAATATTTCTTTTATAATCGAAAAAAAATGAAATCCTTTGTTTGGTGACTTGCATGACTAAAATTCTCAAATACCCAAATTCTACACTACATAAAAATGTCAACTGTTCTCATACATAAAAAGTTATAATTATGATCATGAATCTGTTAAGGTTCATAACATAGCAATAATAGGCATGTTATTTAGGTCATTACACAAAGAAAGGCATATTTAGCTTTAATTACTCTGTACTATAAAAGAGAAATTAGGAAAAATGCTAGCACTTTGGCATATTCAGAGAGCCTTAGATATATACACACAATGTAAAAAAGCTTTAATGGACTAGGATTATAAAATTATATTGAGTTAGTTAAATAACACATTATTAACCTGTCCTATTAAAACATCCCACCACCAAGGCTAAAAGATGTGTAAATGCTCTTTTCTTTCTCAATAAAAGGTTTCTAATATATGTAAATTGTCACTAGGTAGCCCAGAGTAGCTAGGACTATAATAGCCACTATAAAATGACTACAATATACAGAACTGGTCAAGAAGCAATGATGAAAAGGAATTGAGGGCACCTGTACCATCACAATCATCAAGGAAAACACGTCTAAAATATAGAATTCTAGAAGAATCTGGATTCTTCAAAGCAAGGCCTTGATATGAGGCAGTAAGGCACGTGGGGAAAAAACCAATAACCCTGTCTCTGAAATCCAAAGATGTGGGTTATAATCAAGCATCTGACATTCTTATTTGTGTGACGTTAAACAACTTACCTTACCTCCCCTAAGTCTCATTTTCCTCAACAATAACTGTGGGGGTGGTTGTGGGAGGGGGGTGTCCTGGATCATATGGTCTGTAAGGTCTCTCCTAATTCTATATCTGTGAACCTATAACCCAATGTACACGATTGTGAAAACAAGTTTTCAGAATAAAAATATTAAGATGGCAACCTGCAAATACTTCATAAAGCATTGACAGGCTACTCAAATCCAAATTAAATGGCAAGTCTAAGTCTTTAAGTGGTAGGATAGATGAAAAAAGGATTCCTAAAACTATTGCCTATGATTTTCTATCATCAATTTTAAAAAGATTTTCTAGATGAAAGAGGATTTCAGGAGTCTTAATTTTACAAGGGTCTTTTGAAATAATCTAGTCCAATACATATGTGACTAACCCCAAACATGTCAAGGTAACCTCTGTTTGAACAATTCTAGTAATAAAATCAAATTTTAGTTTTGGACAGTTCAGTTCTGAGAAAGCATTTCCTTAATCTATCACCCTGTAACTTCTGCTCACTACTTCTACTTCTGACATAAGGGGACACAAAGCAGAAAAAGAAAATGCGCTTCATATGATAACTCTGAATATCTAAACCCAAGCATGTACTCACTAAACTCTCCTCACTACAAGCTAAACATCATCAGATGTTTGAACCAATTTCTCATATGGCACTGCTTCCATCTTTGTTCAACATCCTCTAGATGTGTACCAGAGCTGGAGTTAACAGCCAGAAATGAACATAATATAAAGAATGTAGCCTGACCAAGGCAAAACTAGCAGTAGTTTCCCTTCATACTCAATGCTCTGCTTCCATAAATGTGGTCTAAAATCACCTAAGAAACCACAATGCTAAATAATAATAATCTAAAAATCTTGTTAAATCCCTGTTTTCTGAATTCATATCTACTAGTACTCTCTAGCCATGGCTTCCCTATCCTGAATACTGAGAGTTGCTTTTTGGAAATTGATTTATCCTATTAGATTCAACTCCTGAAAGAGTTTGTAAAAATCTGTGAATTGCAAAATCATCCAATTACATGGAAAGCAGGAGGAAAGTACAAATGAGATTATAGATTCAAGACAAAGATGGCACATTAGAGGTCATTTAGTGCAACCCTCTGTACCTACGAGGACAATGAGGCTCAGAGAGTTGATGTAACTTATTCAATGGTCACACAGCTGTTAAGTGGCAAAGTCTCTAATGAAGGTGTTTGATGATTCTATGATTTTCTTCTATTCTATCCTTAAGTATAAAAAAATAGTTTTATTGAAAAATTGTATTATGTATCAGATTTATATCTGTTTATAACACATTAAAAGACATGGAATTAAAAACACAGGAAACCATAAAAGGTGGGTAGGGAACTTTGGTTGGGGGGTAGGGGGAGTGGGTTTGTCTGTTTAATTGTTTGGCAATTTCTGGTTTCGTTTGTGTCAGGTATTCCCAGTAAAGAAATTCTAACAATGAAGATTAGTAACTGTTTTGCAATCTTAGAAAGTAGTCTAAAACATTGAGATGTTCTGTAATTGAAATATTCTGTAATTGTTTCACAATCAGTATCAATCAGAGATGAAGCTTGAACCTTGGCCTAACCAAATTCAAGGCAAAGTGTCTATCTCCCACACAATACAGTCTCAAAAGATGATTATATAAAGGAATATAAAATTTGAACACTTCCCTTTAAAAAATATTCTGAGAAAAATCAATTTTTCCCTCTCTCTGAGAGGTGCCAATCTCAAATTTCTGAAGGGACTGCTAGACTATTGATCATGACCTCAAGGTAGCACTCTTAGAGGAAGCAACTGACAATACCTTTGTGTTCTTGCTATCATACAAAAAGACTTGGGTGTTTTTTTTTCCTTTTCCATAGGAAAGAAAATAAAATTGGAAACTGTAGTTTCTTCTAATTTAAGTCTCAACTAGCCATGAAGATGTTAATTTAGGCAAAGACCTCATATCTAATGATTTCAGTCAATTAGTAAACCTTAATTATGTGCCTACTATGTGCCAGATGCTACGTTAAGTGTTGTGGATACAAAAAAGGCAAAAGACAATTCTGGATATCAAGGAATTCACAGCCTAATAGGGGAGAAAACATGCAAACAACTATGTGCAAAAAGGGATAGTCAAGTTAAATTGATAATCAAGAGAATGAAGTCATTAGAATTAAGATGGACCAGGAAAGGAATCCTGTGGAGGTTAGGGTTTTATGTGGGACATAAAGGAAACGAGAGAAGTTAGGAGGCCTCTGCAATGAGAAAGGAGCAAATTTCAAGCATGGGGACAGCCTGTGAAAAGCTCAAAGCTGTGAGATAAACAGTTTCTTGTTCAAGGAGCATCAAAGAGGCCAGTGTCACTGGATCACAGGGTACATGGTGGGAAAGGATTACAAAAATGTAAGATGGAAAAGTGGGACAGGTTATGAAAGGTTTGAATGCCCAACAGAGGATTTTATATTTGATCCCTGAAGTAATAAAGAGTCACTGAGTTTGATGAGAAGGGAGGTGGTGACATGCATGATCAGACCTATCATTAAGGAAAGCTACTTCTATCAGATGAGTGTAGGATAGATTGTAGTAGAGTAATATTTGTGGTTGGGAAACCAACTGGAAGGGTATTGCAATGAGTTAAGTGGTTCAATAGAGTTGAGAAATGTTAGCAGAAAAGGGGGTATATACAAGAGATATCACAGAGGTAAAAATCAATAGGCCTTGGTAAGTGATTGATTATAATGGAAGGAGGGTAGGAGAAAGTGAGGAGTCAAGGAAGGATCCTACATTTCAAGCCTCAGGGAATGAGAGGATGGTAGTGCCCTCAACAATAATAGAGAAAGGTGAGGAAAGGGGAGAAGATAACGAGCTTAGTTTTATACACGTTGATTATAAGATATCTATGGGACATTTAGTTCTAGATGTCCAATAAGCAGTGGGAGATGAGAGATTTGAGAAAAATAAGTATAGATATGACCACTGAATATACAAGAGCTGATGAGATGATCAAGTAAAACAGTAAAGAAAGATAACAGGAGGGCCAGGGCAGAGACCTGTAGAAAACCCACAGCTAAGGGTATGAGCTGGATGAAGATCTCACAAATGGGACTGTTAAAAAGTGATAAGATAGGAAGGAGGAAAACTAGAAGAGAATAGCATCATGTAAACAGAGAAGAGAATATCCAGGACAAGATAGTGATAGTATCAAAGCAGGAGAGAGGTCAAAAAGGATGCAGACTGAGAAAAGGTAATCAGATTTGGCAATTA